TCTATCATTGCTGGATTTTTCGATACAAAAGCGACAACCTTTCAAATTTAAGCTTATTTGCATAGTCTCATTTATCACCCTATGCCCCCTATGGTACCTTCAACTCAGTGTTTTGGTGGAAAGGACATCATATGCCGATGATTTTTTTATTCATTAGGCACTAGTGAAAAAATTGAAATGGATTGTGTCATCTAGAAATGTCGAAGTCTCAATTTGAAAGAAAATTTGCATCATATTGTTGAACAGGTGTTAAAATAAATTCACATTTTTTTTTTCAACAGATTCTCGTTAAAAATTGTAAGAACCTCATGACAGATTCGACAGGATTATTGAAAGATCAATTGCCAATATTGAAAAAGAAACCTTTGGGATATTTTAGTATCATTTCCACTCCCACCTCTTTACGATTTTTGTGTGTTGTTGACAAGTGACAGTTTTGTTGAAGTGATTGCAATTATTTTCTAATTATGTTTCCTTGAAACTGAGACATTCAAGTCTTTTGGGGAACGTGTCACTTTTCTTTCTTCAACGAACATATTTTCAGTTTCTGCACTGACAACTTCATGTGTGCCAGGTAGGTATTCTTCTTCAAATCATCAGTATGACAAGTATGTGAATGAAAGATTAGGTACTGCAGTTTTATCGCCTATCAAAATCCACCGCAGTAGCGCCATTTGTAACAGATTTGTGATTGCCATTGTTGGGAGAAATAAATAGGACCTGAGCAGTTCATCCTCTGATTAGGAGAAGATTCATGTACAACATGTCATCTGAAGAAGGTTTTTCAGAAAGTACTGAAACAAATTGTATCTTATCTGTTGATTATATTTTTCCTATAAAATTCGTAGGGAGTAGTTTCTAGACTGGTCCATTCATCCACTAAATTCTGTAAGGATACCAAGAACGAATAGTTTTTCTGACCCTTCTGATGCAGAATAAATAAACATCCTGAGCATAGGAACATGGAAGTGATGTGTTTTGTCTTTCTGACATCACTATGTTTTACATGAAAATGTTATATTTGGTAGTTTGATATGCTTGATAGCCGGTTGGTTTATTATACTCGACAAAGTTCATCATTTTGTTCTCTTGACCCATTTATGCCTAGAACTATTTTTTGTTGACAATTCAATTCGTTTTCTTATATTTGTTTGAAATAGGTATAAAAATAAAATGGTTAAAAGAATCTACTATCATCAGTTGAGAAAAAAACACGTGAGTCGTTATCGACCCGTTGGGCAAATGACAGTCCGTATATTTGAGGAACATTCCAATTCAACGAAAGAATAACATTACTAGGAAATACAATAATTGTGTCATTTGCCATGGTCACTGGCAACATTTATCATGTAGGGCAACGCTTCATCTGTTCGTTGTCTTATTCTTGCATGATGCACAACGTCTTCATGATTGTTCAGTGACTATCAAATGTTGACCATCATTACGAGCTCCAGAAGGAACAAATGATGGTCGGGGTCCTGTAGCACTTGGCATTTGTCCATATTTTTTCATCAATGCTATGACCACATTTCTTCGGAACTTCAAGCTATCCAACTTTTTTTCATAACTTCTCGAGAGAATCCATGCATTATTCATGCATTTGTCAAATACCCAGAACAAAATTGGAATGTACCATTTTTTTCCCTCTAAGCCCAATCCTGTAGTTCGCTATCCATTTGATCCACACCACCCATGAATGTGTTATATTGATGAATCACATGAGATTCAGGTATTTTCACCTTCTTTCTATCCTTCGCTGGATAACGGGTAGCTTTACGAAGTGTGGTAACGCCGTATTCGTTATATAATATAGAAACTATACAATTATCTTTCCATTTCACAAAACTTATGTTTTTTTGTCGATGGCACTATCATAAGCTCCTCTATCTCTTTTCTTCATTTCATTCGAACTCTGAATCATACACTTCTCTGTTCTATTTTCTCAAACAGTGCCAGTTCCTCCAAATCCTCTTTCTTCTAGTTCTGTTATCAGGAAGGCACTAGTGAAGAAGTTGTCAAAAAATAAGGAGAATTCAGAATTCGGGAAATTATCTCGTAAAATATCTGCAAAATTCAATACAACAGGAGCTCAACCCATTTCTTTGGACATCATTATGAGTATCTTTTTGGCCTTGATATATATCGAAACTAGCACAGTATCCAGACGAAATGGCTAAAACCCATGCTTTGAAACCAAACCTGATTGGAATTTCTGTTATGAATTGTTTGCATCCATGTTTTCCGAAATAAGGAATCATGTATTCATCAATTGATGAACAAGTATTCATTGGGGCATATCTGATATAAATACTATTTATTTTTGTTACTAGAGGACGCAGTTTACTCATTTCGTCATTGGCATCCAATGTATTGTTGTCTGCAGCATGAATGAATCGAAATATTTCTTCAAATCTGTTTCGCCTCATGGAATTTGCTATGAGAACATTATGGGTATCTTCTCGACCTTTTCAAAATATTCGTCGTCGTGAAGCAGGAACATATCCACTGGGATGAAGTATTGCGATATACACATACATCTCATCATTACAAAGTTCCAAACGAGTATTTTCTATATTTTCATACATATCACTGTATATCGTCACTGTAATTCACTGAGTCCATAAATCCTTCGACTATAATTTCACAGGAAGGCTTGAAAACTGATTTGGTTCAGATTCATCATGAGCTGTTCACGAAAATGTTTTTCCAAAACTCACATTAGGTCATATCATGACTTTCGAATGATGGAAAGTGATTTTTCGTTTCTTTCAACTGAAAAAATGGAGTTACGCCTATATCGAATATTGTTTGATATTTCGGAACGGAGATACGTAGTTTTCGCTGAATTACGACTACTAATTGATAGAATCAATACACAATGAAAAAACTTTCATGGGTGATGTCAAAACAAGTATAATTATTCTTCATACGAGAACATATTTTCTGATACAAAATTGAGGAAATGTTACACTTTAAAATTGAATGTATCGAGGATTATCGGCAAACTTTCAAATTGTATGCGTTTTATATTCGAAGGAAATCGGATTGGAAAATCTTGCCAGTCAGCAGCAGAATGCCGTAATTTGTAGAAATTCTTTTTGTTTGTATACTTTATAGCTTTCAAGTCTGTTACCTGGGCATCACCCACCCTCTTTCCAGGTCTTATCGATTTGGAATGATTCACCTTTCCTTCAAAGTTTCGGAAAAAAGAATGTGGAAGGCATTGAACATGATAGGGATTATTCTCATACACCTTCTTACAAATGAAAACATGATCTGCGGGAACATTTATGTTCATTTTTCGAATTTTTTTCTCAATATTGGAATGCATACTATCGGCCTCCATCTGTGTGTGTCCCTTTTGCAAACATTTCTGGATGATGGTCACATTATGTTCCATTGCAAAGTAAAATTGAGCATTTGATAAAACAGCATTCCTGTTTTGGCCAGCCATTTTCTCCTTGAGAAAATTAACAATTATCGAAGCAGCAGAAGCCATTTCGACGCTTCATGTCGTGAATTGTGAAATTATGGACAATGAGTTAAGTTTTATAATAAAGAGAGCTAACATTAGATTTCGGACAGAGGAGCACCGACTGTAGGTCCATCGTGAAAACTTCATCATTAGAGCTTTATCATTGGCTTCCTCTAGACGTGCTTCATTCTTCAGTGAAATGTGCATGTCATATTCTTCTTTTGTGAATTTTTTTGTTTCATAGACCACACATACATCGAACCTGTCTTTCTTCGGCTGATACAGCGACAAATTCTTTTTATCAAGAGATAGGGGTTTATCAATATTATTCTGTCTGCAAAAATTGGTGCAGTAAGCTTTATATAACTGAGCCTTTGAGTACCATGTCGTTCCTAAGTACAGCTTCGATGTATTTTGTCGACAATAATGAGACTAGAGCTCCGGGAGATCGTCAAAAAAAGTATTGAGATGCTTGAGCTCCTGGCTTTTCAGTTCTCTATGTACTTGGATCCTACCAACTGGTGTTGTCTTGGACCATTTCTGTTCAATTATCTCCCCAATACTCAATGTATTCAAAAACATAGTATCACAAACACGTGTTCTCTCATGGCCATGTTTCAAATAGAATTCGGTTGAGGTAGTTCTCCTAGAATATTCTGTTTCACCTCTTCTACACGGTAAAAAATAACATCTTCAACCAAGCTAATATGCATTGAGTTAAAGAATTTTTATCCTTATATATACGCAAAGAAATATTTTATCAATACAAGATATTATATTTTTCGGATTATATGCCGAATTCAAGATAACATATCTCATTCCGAGATGTTATTTTTCCTCATTTTGAATTATTTGATATCATCCATTTGAAACATGCGTACGACTCAATAGAAAGTTAACGGAAACTCCAAATAACAAAGATTCAACTCTTCAAATCGAAACAAAAATAACATTCACCAGAGTTTCAATCCAAATGATGCATTTTTTTCCAACCGAGACGGAATGAAGTATTCATTCAAAACAAAAACTTTTCAGTAGTACAAATGCACTTACTCTAGTGGAGAAAATGTCATGTTGACATTGGAGAGCAGCGTGTTCGCATGGAAAATATAAGATATTCACTACTATTTTGAAACATTATGATATATGTTGCTACAAGAACTTTCTTCTTTCTAATCGAGACTACAATCTGCTCAAAAGAATACTTTGGATGCATGACTTTGGGAAAGCATGTTCTCAAGTTATGAATGAAATATTCTTCAACAGAGTTTTCCATTCACTTAGTGAGAGCGTATATGTATATACCATGATTGAGTGCTCATGGATTATATCAAGATGCATTATCTCTCAAAGCAAGAGCAATAATTTTCTAATTGAAAGAATATCTTTCCAAATCAATATTATAGTATCTCTTCAGTTGACATCAGAATTCAAAAGCATTGTGATATGCTGCTACAAGAACTCTTTATGTTCAAATCGAGAATGGAATTAGCATGTTACATTCATAAAATAAGAAACACTCTTCCTAGGCATATGGACATACATTGCTATCAAACCAGATACAACCAGTTGATATATCCAAGTCAAAATAACCTTCAAATATCATCAAGTGGTCCACTTTCAACTGGCATAAGAGTCTATAACCAATTACCTGAAGAGATAAAGAATCAATCATCACACTCCAAGTTCCGAAATTCCATTAAATATTTTCTGATGACAAATCTATTTCATGATATCAATGAACTGTTTATGTGACTGCATTTTTTAATACATTTTCAATTTGTTTGTTGTTTTTACGTAGGTACTTACATTTTCAGGCATTTTATAATTTTATACATAATTATTTCAAACAAACATGTGTTGTATTTTGACCTTGACAAATTTTATACCTAAATTAGGTCTTTTGAATGAATAAAATATTTGATTTGATTTGACTACAGTTTGCTCGAAAGAATACTATGGATAAATACATTCAAGAAACCATGTTCTCAAATCAAGATGAAATATTCTTCTACAGAGTTTTCCATTTACTTAGTGAAAACGATTTATTCACTATGATTGAGTAATCATAGATTAGATCAAGATGAATTAGTTCTCAGAGCAAGAGCAGACATTTTTTGATTGAAAGAATATCTTCTTGAATCGATATTTCAGTATATCTTCAGTTGACATCAGAATTCTAAAACATTGTGATATGTTGCTACAAGAACTCTCTTTCTTCAGATCAAGAATACAGTCTGCTTCAAAGAATATTATGGATCGATATATTTACGAAACCATGTTCTCAAATCGAAATATAATATTCTTCAACAGAGTTTTTCATTTACTCAGTGAAAGCGATTCATTTACTATGAGAGTTATCATAGATTTGATCAAGATGAATTATTTCTCAAAGCAAGAGCATTATACTCTTTTAGTTGAAGGAATATTTTCTCAAATCAGTATTATTGTATATCTTCAGTTGACATCATGAATCGAAAACATTGTGATATGTTGCTACAAGAAGAATACTGTAGATGCATACATTCGAGAAAATTTTTTCTCGAATTAGAATAAAATATGCTCCAATAGAGTTTCTCATTCACTCAGTAGGAGCGATTTATTTACTATGATTGAGCAATGAAAGAATACATTTGAAGTAAATACTTGCTGCAATAGATATTCTTGGATCTAACTAATCACTCATTTCAACCGAGTCCACTATTTACTGATTCTGAGTACAATAATTACTTATGAGAAGTGACATTAGTGTTCAATGATTATATACTGAGGATTGTTTCAAACAGAGATTAATGGATTGTTAATATTTGACAACATAGTAATCTTGAAAAGAAATAGTCGACCTATATTTTCCATTGTAAAACTACAGAATATTATAGGTAGGTATCATTAATCAGCAATAACATACAACATATCAGCTGACATGAATTATGTGTTTTTCAATCAATCAATCAATAAACCGTGAAAATGAATGAGTACACTCGAAGAAATATTAAATGATGATCATGATATATATCGATCGGGTCGGGTGACAAACATTTTTGCACAAAATCAATAAATCATTTTCCACTTTGAAATATATTTTTATTCATATACGTTCCTGTTAAGAAACGAAATAACAAAAACCAAATTCTTAGGTATTTCAGTCTCTAAAAATACATGAACAACGGTATCAGACTAGCGATTTTCATCAGGTAAGAAAATATTTCCAAAAGAAATATTATAAATGGAATATATCTGCGATATGTTATTTGCATTCGAAGTTTCCATATGCGCCATGGGTGTGACGGCGCAATATTGAAACTTTTTTCTCTGTCACACTCATCGAGCATATGGAAACTTCAAACGCGAATATCTTCGAAATCGTTGGAAATAACCCTATCAAACCTGGTATCATTGATTTTGTTATGATAATCACTAACCGATTATCGAATGATATACAGGGTGTTCCATTTCAAAATCGAAAGTTGACGTCGTTACCGGAAAAACCGGAAGTTGTATTTTCTTCCAAATATGTCGAAAAGTGGCATTTAGGGAGTGTTACGTCAATACTTATAAGTGGTTGATTTAGTGAATTATTTATTTTCAATTTAAACTTATTTTCGCGCTATAAAGGCACTAAACGGCGCACGCCCCCGCCTGATAGTCAATCGTCAGGCCTCGGACGTTACCGATAAAAAAAAGGTACCAAGAAGTACCGGTATTCATTAGAATTTCAAGACTGATAAGATCCATTACTGCAAGACAAGGTTCCTCTGATAATTATTACCGCTAACCTAACTCAAGTGACAATTTTGGGAACATCTAAGTGCGCGACTTGTGCATTAAGTGAAACCAAGGCGATAGGCAGACTCATTCCAGAAAGGGCCCTTTCATCACCTGGAGAGACCACCTGACCACCTGAGAGGCCTATTGGGTAAGTCCGTTTAGTGCCCCGCTTTAACCAAATTATACAGTCCATTTTCAACACCACTTAAGGGTTATCGATCGCAAACATTGGCCCTTCAAGCCAAATTTCTACCAAAAATTCTATTGTTTCATAGTGCTCAAGTTCGCGCCAAATACGCTTCAAATCATGGTAACCTTGTTTTAATTTGACTGCTTCCACGCATTAATTACAATTTCCAGGAAAAATTAGTTGAAATAATTGAAAATTATACTTGCTACTTATCTATTTTGCTCTCAATGGTTTGCTAACATATATATTTAAATTTCAAAAAATTAGCCATTTTGAATGCCTTTTCGTTCGTGTGCTCATACAAAAGGAAGGTGACAAGCGCAGGTCCTGTTTGCCCCAAATTAATTGGCTAGGCCCAGTCACGTGCCAATCGCAACTTCTGCTATAAAAACTGGATTCATGATTGTCTATTCTCACCTGTTCATTTTATAGTGTCAAGGCCAGGGCACCTATTTTTTGTTGTTTTCAATCACGCATATTTGAGGACAGTGAACTCGGAAAGCAATCAGCTGTTTTTGTTGTTTATACCAATTCGGGTCAGGCAGTCTTGAATGATTGAGAAAACGCCATGGAAAAATTGAAAAAATTTAAAGCTCATCGCTCGACATCTCTCAGTGAGATAAGTGTTATAAGTACGCTCGCGAATAATGCAAAAACTGATAAATCTCTTAGAACCCTATTTAGAGTCCGATACGCCGATCTACAAGGTGTATATGAAGATTTTATTCGCCACCATAATAACGTTGTCAGTACGCTCCTGACTGATCCGCAAGCCGAGGTAGATGATGAAAACGTAATACGCGAAGGGTTTTTAAGTGAATACTATGCAATAAAAGCAATATATGCCGAACTCTTTGATGATCCGCTACAAGGCCATCCTCTGCTAAATTCGACAGCGAATCCTACTCTTGCATTTAGTAATCATAATAATATTCGTCTTCCGAAAATTGAATTACAAAAATTTAATGGTGATTATAAATCATTTGTCACTTATTTGGATTTATTCAATGCGTTGGTGCATTCCAATAGCTCACTGAGTGACGTCGAGAAATTCAATTACCTAATTTCGTCTTTGCAGGGTCAACCCCTTACTCTGGTCCGTACTTTACCATTAACTGCTGACAATTATCTCATTGCATATCAAACTTTAGTGGATCGCTATTCAAATAAAAGACTTCGCGCGCAAGCCCACTGGTCTGAAATACAAAATTCTTCAAAGGCAAATTCTGAAAGTGTTGAGTCATTGCGGAAATTGCTCGATACCTTTTCTGAAAATCTGGCAGCTTTGAAAAACCTGCAATTTCCTACAGATCAGTGGGACTTTATATTGGTGATGATGATGCTTCAACGCCTTGATAAAACTATTGTCACCCGATTCGAACTCGAACATGGTTCGGCTGATATACCGAGCTACTCAAAATTATTCGATTTTTTACAGAACCATTGTACCGTTCTTGATACACTTGGTATTTCTCGTAACGTCCCGCTGACCAATATTTCCGTCACCGGTAAAAGTTTACCGCCCAAACGTCAACCGCCTGCTTATAATAGAACGACCACTTCCTTTTTTGTGAATAAATCTCCTGCAGTCTCATGTTCGTTCTGCAAAGAAAATCATTCGCTTTATACCTGTTCTGTCTTCGCTAATAAACCTCAGAGTGAACGATATACCTTTTGCAAAAGTTCTCGCCTTTGCTTTAACTGTCTCAGTGCCTCTCACGATATTCGATCTTGCCGCTCTAACGCTCGTTGCAAGAGGTGCGCTTCAAAATATCATCATACGCTATTGCATCCTGATAAGCCGGAACCCACCAACGTTGCCACGTCTGCTGCCGAAAATCCTGGATGCTCCGCAAATATCTCGCCGCCGCCAAATTCTCAAATTAATAATAATAATAATTCTAATTCTTCATTTTTTGCGGGAGCTGGGATAATCGCAAAGAATAAGGGTGTACTCTTATCTACTGCATGGGTAGATTTTACTGATAATCGTGGCAACTTCCAACCCCTGCGGTGCTTACTAGATTCTGGAAGTATGAATTCATTTATCAGTCGATAGGCAGTTCATAAATTGGGTCTACCACAATTGAAATGCTCAATCGAATTGAAAGGTCTTGGTACTATGCAGTCTGCGTTTAATGAAGGATTTGTCACCTTATGCCTGAAACCAATTGGCAAATCTACTCCTACGATGCATACCGATGCCATTATATTGAATCAAATATGTGATGACATGCCTGCTTCCCCTGTTTTTTATGATAATTGGTCACATATTTCAAATTTACAGCTTGCTGATCCTCAATTTGGTAGACCAGGTAATATTGATGTCTTACTAGGCGCTGACATTTTCTCTAAAATAATTCTCAATGGTCGCGTTTCAGGGTCTGCTGATGAACCTGAAGCCATCAACACTATTTTTGGTTTTATCCTGATGGGCAAAATTAAACTGAACTCCGCATCTGCTACAGTTTCGTCATTTTTTTGTGCATCAGAAAATAACTTTGATACACTTATTTCAAAGTTCTGGGAAGTTGAAAGTGTACCCTTTTTGCCAACTACCACCCCAGAAGATTATGTTTGTGAAAACATTTTCTCAAATACTGTTAAGCGCAATGACTCAGGTCGCTATATGGTTTCGCTTCCTTTTAAAGATGTTCGTCCCATGTTTCCCGGATTTCGAAATTTCGCATATC